CCTCAAGAGTTCCTTGGCGAGCAGGAAGAAAATAGGCTTTTGCCCAAAGTCAGCAAATCACGCATTAGAAAAATTATTTCATGTCATGTGCGGGCATTGCAAGCGTTTCCTTCCCAATAATCAAAGTTACAGCCAGACATCATATTGCATATAATGTCATGTAAAAACAGTTTTTAAAATGGTACTGGACAAGGTTAAAAAAGGGAATGGCCTCATTTACTATAATGTATTAGAGATAATCCACTAAATTCTAATCATGAGGTACTAGACATCTTTCCTCTCCTTTGCTTTCAAAACAAAGCAGAGATTTCTGTGTGCTAAAAATGAGTGATTGCAATACTTTACTTGTTCTGTCAGAACAGCAAGAGTAAAACTTGTTTTGCTTATCGGCTTTTAGATATGTGAATTCTGCAGGGCAAGCAAAAGTCAAGAGCCTTCAAGCTCCTGCATTTTCCCTTCTTTCCACTTCTTACAAGCCAGCACTCCGTTAGTTCATTCAAACCTCCAGGGAGGAATAGGTCTGACTTTCTTTTTACAAACACTAACCATGGGGTCATTGAGAGGTTGATACTGGGAAGACAGGACTGTTTAAGATGGAACCGTGTTCCTTCATTGTACCCAGAAGCAAGAGAGAAACATACTATGAAGCAGCACAATAAAGTGGTGGTGGATCCCTCACCCGGTTGTGACACTGCTTGCTTTCTTTTAGCCCTTCTCCCTCTCCATTCTGGCACAGGATTAGCTTTATTCTCTCTTTAGCTTAATTCCAGAGATGGCAGTAACTAGCATCACCAGATCAGGTACCCCTGGCAGAAACAGCAGATGAAGAGGAAAGCTCTATTTTAGCTCTAAAGGAACTGGTGCTCACAGCTGAATTCTGAAACAGTGCTCCCAATGAAGACTGTTGGGACAAACCAGCTATCTAGAGGTAAGATCTGAGCAAGAGCAAAGAGTTTCTTCATCTCACTGTCAATGACAACCACTGAAGCCTGGCTCATAACTAGCTCAAACCTAAGAGGGGAAAGCTCCACAGAAATACAGAAAACATACCACAGGCTCATCTAGACACAGCTCTTCACAGAGCAGGGAAATCAACAAAACCCCACATGGACACTCACCTCAGGGCAGACATACTTGCTCGCCCCTTCCCTCCCCACTGTCAATGTAGCTCAGTCCAAGTGGCTTCCAAAACACCCTGCAGGTGCGCGTAAGCTACAAGAGGGAGCCAGGCTGCAGGGGCACACTTGATGAGCACAGCAATGCTAAATAAATCAAGACATCATAAATCAAGACATTTGCTGATGTACTTAAGCTCAGGAAGTTTTCTGTGTGTAACTGGCAGAGAATGAGAAGGCACCGTATCCTCTCTACCCACCAGGCGATTTCTGTTTCTCAGTTGACTACACAGTGTGTGAGCCTTGGGCACCCAGGTAAAGGAGCACAGCAGCCTGAGGTTGGCTGAGATGAATCTGGGCTGAACTGCTGTTACCAGTAGCTTTGAGTTCCCACCAGCCACGACCACAATTCACAGATAAAACAGACCAGCATGCCGACAGCTCTTTCCAATGCTTTTCCTGCCAGTCCTGATGCGGGAAGCCTCTGGAAGGAGTTTCCCCTCTCTCCTAGTATGCAGTGCAAATATATACATACTGTAAACATGAACAAACTGGTAATTAATGGACTCTGTTCAACAGAAATAACAGGCAGACTATGAGCAATAATGAATGCATACAACTGCTGTCTTCAGGCTGAAGCCACACAGACTTTTCTCATCCTTGGCACAACTGAAAGGCTTACAATGTGCATCTACCCTGAAGGAAATGCAGGTACTCTGTATCTCTCATTAGTTGACCCACAGCACATGGTTTAATTTAAATTTTATATTCTGCAAAGAGATGATGTTCCTCAACGGGCTGTAAATACTGTTATAACCAGTGGAATACATGGAACTGTAATATTTACAGCAAGTGAAAATCTGGCCCAGTATACATCAGCCACTATCTCTGACTATTTTACTGAAAGAAGACATCCAATCCAACTATATTTAGTCTGATAAACAATGTATTTCCTCTTCCTGTGTTTTACAGACCAGATGTGCTAAGGCCTACCACTGTAGCTGAGTGTTATTTAACAGAACACTGCCAAAATGCAGAATTTCCCAGTTTAATCATTTAATTAACTTGATTCTTTATTTTTTTCCCATCTATTACAGAAGGTTGGATTTAATGCTAACCTAAATGCAGCCTCTGCTAACAAAAAACGGAGATGTTTATTTGGACAGGTTGCTTGGGTGGGGCTTTTTGTTGTTGTGTTGTGGGATTTTTTTAAAGCAAATTAATTCAGGGTCAACTTTAAGGATTAATGCAACTCCAGATTTTGCTTGCTAGAGGCACATTCCCAAGGATTTTAAGGATTTGCTTTAATATTTTTGGAAACTTAAAAATAGCATCTCTTTC